ACTTCAAAGTTGACGGGATGGATGGCTACCTTGAGCGGCTCGACGAGGCTGTTCAACGCCAAGGGCACGCCATGAACGCATACTTCCAACGCGTTAACTACGTCCCCCCACCGTACCATGGCACGTTCTTTGGGCAAGTGTACGGTGACGAGGACGAAGAGGATGGCTCCTACGCCCCGTCAAGCTCCCCGGACGAGGAAGAGTTCGATGACGCCGTTGACGGTGATGAGATGGACGTCGACGACGACGACGAGGAAACCGAAGACGAAGACTAGGCCGCCCCTAGAATTTCTATCTCTTTTGTTTTAATTATCATGTCTCTTAATGCTTCCGTTGTACTCCGCTATTTCCCATCTTCAATAAATAAAAAATTATCTTTTATCCTTTTTTTAATGTCAAAAGGGGGAAGAAAAGGGCTATGCATATACTAAGGGGGAACGTCTCTATAAACGAGACCGTTTGATTTTAATCCAACTAATTTTTTTTAAGCACAAATTAAGGGGGAACTTTTTTTTCACAAACTTTTGAAAAAAAAATATCCCTTAGTATGCATATCCCCGTCTTGTTTGCCATTATCAAAAAGGGGGAAATTGTTGGAACACGGGTTAACGCCTTACGTCATATTAAACTGTGTTCGGTTTTTGTGACAGGTTTTGATAATGCCAAACCGCCGCGACATATCGAAGCTAAAGTGAGAACCAAGAACCCAGAATCAAGAACGAAGAACTAAAATCGTATTGAGTCGGTCTTAATGTGATCAAGACCGGCACAAAATTCCAAATCTTGGCTCTCTAGGCTCAATTCATAAAAATCCCTTTTACATGTTCAAAAATATTTTTCTTAAGTTTAAACTTGGGTCAAAACACTTGGAGTTCGCCCAAGCCAAAAACCAAGCCATCCGGCGTTCGGCTTTCAGTTTTCGGCATTGGTTTTTGGCGTTCGAACCAACCAAGTGGTTTTCAACTTTTTATGACTGGTTTTTACCTCTGGACATATTTAATTAGCTCTCCAACAAAAACGCCTCAAAAACCACTCTCCGTTTTTTGTCGTTTAGTAAAAACCATGCGAAACGGCACGAACTTGGTTAGCCGTGGTTTTCAACTAAATGACGTGGTTTTCAAGATGTTTTACTTGTTCTCTTAGCAAAATGCAATAAACAAATGTTTTCTAAACTTGGTTCTTATTTTGGAGAACTTGCATTTTTGACATCGGCTAACGGCGTGACTAAACCAACCATGGGTCTGGCTAAACCAGCCCAACAGCGATGTTGAGGTAATCAACAGCGCTGTCTGGACTGGGTAGCTAAAAACATGGTTTGGCGTTAAGTCTTCCAACAGCGATGTTGGTCACTAGACATCGCTGTTGAGCCAAGGTTGGATTTCCAGAAACTTCTGGAACAGCGATGTAGGCTTCCCTACAGCGCTGTCCAACCTAAGCCAAAAATATAGTGCATTGGCAGAAAGTTTTTGGACAGCGATGTTGACCCAGCAACAGCGCTGTCAGGCCAAACTTCCATCTCCAAAGGCAGACCTAAACAGCGATGTTCTAGGATAGAACATCGATGTAGAGACCTGACCGTTGGAAGGAATTTAAGGCTAAAACTTTCCTTGTTTGGAAGTCAACAGCCAAAACAGCGATGTAGGGGTTTTGGACATCGCTGTTGGCATGACCGTTGCTTCCCAATTTTTAAAAATCAAGCCTAGAACAGCGATGTCCAAGCCTAGGACAGCGCTGTCTGGGTGAATTTCAGCAGATCCAATTTTAATCAAATCCCACAAATTATGCCAATCACCCCTTAAATACTTTGGTCCGTTGGAGCCTATTTTTCTACTATAAAATGGGGTGTTTGGGTCTGTTTTACACATCACATTACTTCACAACTCCTACTCTTTCATTGCAAATCATTCTTCAATTTTCCATAGCTTTTGAGAGCCATTTTTGTGAAGCCTGTGTTGTGTTCTTGAGCGTTCTTAGTTTACTCATTATCCACTCTAAAAGAGAGTATTGTTCTTGAGTGTTTTTAGTGTTCTTAGACACTTGACAAGAGAAGATATTTCTCTTGTTGTTCGAAGGAAGGGTTGTTCCCTTCGAAGGTTCGTTGAGGTTCGTGTGACTCGAATTCTCAAGTTGTACGGGTTTGTTAAGCACCGTTAAGCTTAACGAGATAGTAGTAAAGCTCGAGAGAGTCTCTCGGGAGGCTGGACTAGCCACAAGTTGTGGTGAACCAGGGTAAAATCGGTGTGCCTCGTTCTTTTCTCTTTACTTCTCGCTTATTCATTTTTATTCCTGCGATTTCTTTATCAAACGCTATTCACCCCCCCTCTAGCGTTGGTCTATTATTCTAACAATTGGTATCGGAGCCTAACTCGCGTCCAAACTTAACCGTTTGAGAGTAAAGCGATCATGGGCTCTTCTTCTAGAAATCTCTATGCAGGAATTGGAGAAGGTCAATCAACCTCTAGGCCACCACTCTTTGATGGTACCAACTACTCTTATTGGAAGGAACGGATGAGAATCTAAAAATAAAAGCATAACAAAACAAAATTATATAAGTAGATATAATTGATGTTTGAGTTTTTTTCCAATGGGGGGGGTTGATTTTTCTATTACAAAATAATTTTAACGAATTCTTATTTTCAAAAAATAGTTAATATTGATTACACATATCTAATTTTTATTAAATGTATTGAGTTGAGAATCTTGAGAGTGAGTCTGGAAATTCAAAGACTACGTTCTAGACTTTCCTCATTTTCTGTAAATCACAATGCTAATGTAACGCCCCAAAATATACCCTAGAATTATTAATGAATAATTATTCAAGTAATCAAATTATTTTGATTAATAATAATAATAATAATTGTTATTGGGCTTTGGGCCGAAATGAAATATGTTTTAATATTCAATATCAAAATCTGGATAAGTCTCATAGAGATAAATCCAATATGTTGACTTATTGTGTGACCTTACT